GGGGGGGGGGGGGGGGGGGGGGGGGGGGGGGGCCCCCCCCCCCCCCCCGCCTCCACAAGCTCCTCGCTGCGCGTGGCGACAGGGCGAAGGTGTGGGAGGCGGCACGATCTCCGGCGGTGTGGCGGGGCCTCCACGCCGCGGTGGTCGGCGCCGTCGCAAGCCCCGTACTACAGCTGTGCGCGTTCGAGGTGCTCGAAGCCGCCGCGGCCGATTGGCGTGGCGACCCCGTCTCTGGCGATGAAGAGCCCGAGGGCGCCAAGGGCGACGATGCTGGGACGCCGGGCGAGGAGGAGGAGAGCAAGGATGATGGTAGTAGCGCTACCGCACCAGGCGAGGGCCAGTCGATTGTATCGCGGCTTGGGAGGGCCTTGGGTGGGTGGGGACTCGCGTCGGCTCAAGCAGGTGGGGGAGCGGAGGGGGGCGTTGTTGATGTGGAGGGGTCCGATGAGCGAGGGGATGCTGACGAAGGAGCAGGGAGCAGCTCGCCTGGCACGGAGGCCGTCGAAGAGGAGGCGAAGGAGCAACAAGATGATCTCGAGCTCATCGCCAAGTACGTGATAGTTTTTTTAGGGGGAGCGGGAGCACGTGGACTGGCGGGGGCGGTGCTGTTGGGTATTTAGTTCTAAGAGCACCGGGCAGTATCGCCGTTACCTGTACAACATAACCTTATTGTTTTTGGCCTGTAAGGCTTCGTTTGGGTCAAGGAGTATGCAGTCGGTTCGTCGAGCGCTTGCTGGACCAAGGAGTCATTTCTCTCCTGTTTCTCGCACCTGGAGACTGCGTCCCTCCCCTACCTTCACACCAGTGCTTCAGGGACACGTTGCACAAGGAGCAGTATGTTGGATCATTTCGGAGACTGTCCGTCCTCCCTTCCTCAACACCAGCCCAGTTGTGTTCACCCTATTCTATACAAGCAATATCGTTTCATTTGATCCACCAACCTCGGCGGGGGTAAAACGATTATCTTTCAATCAAGACTGCAATCAACAAAAACTCGTTTCGGGTGAATGCTGCATCCTGTACGCCAGAGTGGCCCTTGTTTCCGGAAGTAACGACCGCTGCTTTCCGTGCGGTGCAGGTGTTTCCCGGAAGATCTTTTGCTGGCTGTTGAGGCGTTGCCGTCGACCATAGACGCGCTCGCAGAGGCACCGCAAGCTTCAGCGAGGGCAAGGGGTGGCGCTCGAAGACAAGACATTATGGCGGCACATGAGGAGGAAGAGGAGGGGGACTACGACGATAGTGAGGCAGAGGAAGAAGATGTAGAGGATGAGAAACACGCGTGGGACTCAGAAGAGGTTGCCGATGTCGATTCCGCCGAACGATCAACATGCGTCGCCTCTCCCGGAGAAGAAGACGAAATAGAAGGCGGTTCAGAGAGCGGAGGTGCGGAAGAACCACACTCAGCTGACTCCGAAGCGGAAGGAGGAGGAACCACCGATAAGGCTGACGGCGATAATGCCCCGCAATCCACGGCCAGCAAGAGCAGACGCAAGCGTCTCCGACGCCGCCTCAGCAGCAGCACAACAAGGACGACCACGTCCGACAGGGGACAGGCTGGAAACATCCCCGGGGGGGGACGCGATCGTCGGCGCACCCCCGCTTCCGGTCCTTCCCTCACGGGCCCATTCTTGACGTGGCTGCTTTGGCTGGAGCACTGCCGACGAGCGTCGGAGTTGGAGGTCAAGTCTAGGTCGGCAGCGAGGGCTTTCGTGGCGAGGGCTGGCGCGCTCACGCCGGTGATGGAGGCGTGCTTTGGAGTGCTGCGGGCTTCGCAGGTGGGTGCTATTAATAATAGCCACCACCGCTATTAATCTTCTGCGTTTTTGCTGTATTGTCTGTGTCGGTGAAGTAGCGGTGGACTGTTACCTTTTGGCTCTCCACCGCGTGCTCGTGTTGCTGGTTTTATCATCCTTATCCTCCTCGTTTTTCGTCGTTCTTTCCTGCTGTGGGTACTGTTTTTGGGTAGCTCTCTGTCCCTCTAGTGCTGGTTCTGTGGAACATCATTTGGGTCGAAGCTTTTACTCTCTGCCACACCCAACTACCTCGGAGTATTCCCCGTAGGATCCCTGTCCCCTCCCTCTCTTCTTTCCCTCTGTCTATATATATACCTCCCCCCCACTTTCCAATGGATTGTGGAAAAAGATGTGGGACATAGGGATCCGGGAGAAAATGTGGAGGATGTTGAAAAAGATGACAGAATGCACAAGAAGTGCAGTGATGTTGGATGGGGAAATCTCGAAGTACGTGGATATACTCCAAGGAGTCGCACAGGGCTGTACGATGTCACCCACTCTTTTCAAGATTTACATCAACGACCTGATAAGGGCGGTTGAAGCAGTAAGACAGGGAGTCCAAGTAGGGGGAAAGAGTGTGTCCGGACTGATGTTTACAGATGATTTCGTGGGGGTATCTGAAACACCAGAAGGGTTGCAGGAACAAATAGATGCGGCAGTAGGATACACCCGAAAATGGAGACTGTCGGCGAACGTAGGAAAATGCGCAGTAGTGGTCTGTAACGAAGACAAGAAAAATCCCGTAGAATTCAAATGGAAATGGGGGGAGGAAGAACTACCGGTAGTAGACAGGTATACGTACCTGGGAGTAGAGATTTCGAAGGAGTGCTCATGGGACGCACACATAGCAAAGTTGATTGGGAAGGGTAAAGCTCAGATAGGCAAGATGGACGAGATCCTTACGGACCCACACCTAGACACTAGGATTAAGAGGTGTGTTCTCTTGAATGTGATTGTACC